AGTTGTGAGACTTTTAGTTAAAAGATTTCATTGCACTTATTCAGTCAGGGTTTTGTTTCTGAAAATTAGGCATCATCAGCTGTGGGATAGGATTGCAACAGTTCTGCCAGCTGGATTTCTTTGCAAGAGTAAAGATTGGAGAAGAAATCAAAGTTATGCATTTGATTCATACCCCAACCAAGGGCAATGAGCATAAGTAAGATTTACACAGTGAATGTTATTTTTTGAGCTTCAACCGAACTGTGAATAATGACAGATTGAAAGATGTAATGATACAAACCCATGACATCTGGTTTTAATAGAAATGTGTGCAATAAGCATATTGAGCTGAGTGAGAGGGATTTTCATTGAGTTCATCTTTCTTTTGTTTACAAGGGGAAGTACCAAACAGATGTCACTAATTTTTCCTGAGATCTCAAAATATCACAGCTTACACCTCCTTCAGCATTTCCTTCAGAAACTTTGCAGACAGCAACAAGATCACTGTTAGCTTGTCTTCTTGATGGTGTCTTTGGTACTTCGTCTTGGCTTCCCAATGTCTTATAAATGGAAAAAAACTCAAAGGGTCTTACTAAATAGACCAAGTTTAAATGGAATGAACTCTTTAACTCCACCCTTGAAAACCTGAGAGCAAACACATTGTTACACAAAAACTTAGCATATCAGGTGAAACCTCAGAATCTGTTTTAATCTTCATATGTTAGATTGCATGAATGATGTTGCCCATACACGTTCTAGAAACATAGAAACATAGAAGATAGAAGCAGGAGGAGGCCATTCAGCCCTTCGAGCCTGCTCCACCATTCTTCACAACCATGGCTGATTGTCCAACTCAATATCTTAATCCTGCTTTCTGCCCATAACCTTTGATCCCATTTGCCCCAAGTGCTATATCTAGCCGCCTCTTGAATACATTCAATGTTTTGGCATCAACTACTTCCTGTGGTAATGAATTCCACAGGCTCACCACTCTTTGGGTGAAGAAATGTTTCCTCATCTCCATCCTAAATCGTCTACCCCAAATCCTCATACTATGACCCCTGGTTCTGGACACATTGACCATTGGGAACATCCTCCCTGCATCTACCCTGTCCATCCTATTAGAATTTTATAAGTTTCAATGAGATCCACCACCACCCCCCTCATTCATCTGAACTCTAGCGAAAACAATCCCAAACTAGTCAATCTCTCCTCATACGTCAGACCCACCATCCCCAGATTCAGCCTGGTAAACTTTCGCTGCACTCCCTTGAAAGCAAGAGCATCCTTCCTCAGAAAAGGATACCAAAATTGCACACAATATTCCCAGTATGGTCTCACCAAGGCCCTGTATAACTGCAACAACACATCCCTGTTCCTGTACTCGAAACCTCTCATAATGAAGGCCAACATATCATTTGCCCTCTTTACCACCTGCTGCACCTGCATGCTTACCTTCGGCGGCTGGTGCACAAGGACACCCAGCTCTCACTGCACACTCCCCTCTCCCAATTTACAGCCATTCAGGTATCAATCTACCTTCTTGTTTTTGCTTCCAAAATGAATATCCTCACATTTATCCAAATTATACTGCATTTGCCATTGATCTGCCCACTCACCCAACCTGTAGAGATCATGCTGAAGGATCTCTGCATCTTCAACACAGTTCACCCTCCCACACAACTTGGTATCATCTGCAAACTTGGAGATGTTACATTTTGTTCCCTCATCCAAATCATTAATATATATTGTGAATAGCTGGGGCCCCAGCACCAATCCCTGTGGCACCCCACTAATTACTGTCTGCCAATTTGAAAAGGACCCATTAATTTCTAATCTTTGTTTCCTCTTTGCCAATCAGTTTCCTATCCATCTCAATATACTCCCCCAAATCCCATGTGCTTTAATCTTGCACATATATCTCTTATGTGGGACTTTGTCAAACGCTTTCTGAAAGTCCAAATATATTATATCAACTGGCTCCCCTTTGTCAACTCTACTAGTTATATTTTCATAGAATTCCAACAGATTTGTCAAGCATGATTTCTCCTTCATAAATCCTTTTGGACTCTGTATGATCCTGCCACTGCTTTCTAAATACTCTGCTATAAAATCCTTGACAAGGGATTCGAGAATTTTACTCACTACCGATGTTAGGCTCACAGGTCTGTAATTCCCTGTTTTCTCTCCACCCCCCTTTTTGAATATTGGGGTGACATTAGCCACCCTCCAATCTGCAGAGACTGTTCCAGAGTCTATAGAATCTTGGACGATGACTACCAATGCATCCACTATTTCCAATGCTACTTCCTTAAGTACTCTAATATGGAGGTTATCAGGCCCCGGGGATTTATCCACCTTCATTCCCAACAATTTTCCCAGCACCATTTCTCTACTAATATTGATCTCCATTAGTTCCTCCCTCTCACTAAATCTTGCATGTTCCAACAATTCTGGTGTCTGATTTGTGTCCTCTTTTATGAAGACAGAATCAAAGTATGTACTTAGTTCCTCAGCCATTTCTTTGTCCCTATTATATATGCCCCTGTTTCTGTCTGCAGGGGACCTACACTTATCTTTACCAATCTCTTTCTCTTCACGTACCTATAGAAACTCTTAGTGTCGGTCTTTATGTTCCCTGCAAGCTTGCTTTCATACTCTATTTTCCCCTTCTTAATCAATCCCTTGGTCCTTCTTTGCTGAATTCTAATCTGATCCCAATCCTCAGATTTATTTTTTTTTCTTGGCCAATCTGTATGCTTCTTCCTTGGATCAGATACTATCTTTTATTTCCTTTGTAAGCCATGGATTGGCCCTCTTACCCATTTTGCTTTTGCAACAGACAGGAATAAACAGGTGTTGCAGTTCCCCCATTCATTCCTTGAATGTTTGCCGTTGCCTATCCACTGTCATCCCTTTAAGTAACTCTCCCCAATCTATCAAGGTGAACTGATCTTACCAGCCAACCTGAGATCTCAAGTGGATACATTTGGTATGTTTGCTGGAGACAGCTAATTACAAGGCCTTGGTTATCTACCATTATGCTTCATTCATCAAATTAATAAACACTCAATTAATTCAACCAAGTTTGTAAGATATGGCATAAAAACAGAAAGCACCCTTGGAGAAAGAAACAGAGTTAACATTTGAAATCCAATATCACATTCAACTTGAAATGCTAACACTGGGCAGAATGTTATCGGGTTCTAAGCAACATGGGCCACGTAAAGATGTGTGGCAGAATCGAGTAAAAAGTATCGTGAGGCCCATCTCAGCATGATGAGCAACTCTCATTATCGTTTATGCTTTTCACAAGCAGAATAACAAGGTTCTCACTAGGCAGAGGCAAGATGACAATTGACAGGGATTAACGCTTGTTAAATGCCTCATCAATAGACCAATTTATTTCATTAATATTCACGCTCCCATTTTACCAAACTAACCAAAAATACTAGACATCAGGAAACCTTGACAAGGAAACCAAAGTGGGTACCTGGCAACTTCTGTTTGCTGTTTCCTCTAAAGGTTCTCTACATTGGAAACCAGACACTACCTACTGAGTATATGCTTGATGGGTACTGGCCACACATTATCACCATCCATAGACATTGGCATGTGCGAAGTGCCAGCCTTGAAAACCCCTCATGGCACATCTCCAATCCACTTACATGATTAGTATTTCAATACATTTCGATATTGTATCTCAGGCTGCACAGACAATTGTTATCGTGATGCTGCTGCAGGAACACAGCATGTTCAATGACAAGCACCCAGCTCTTGGACGAGACCAAGTCACATTTCTGGGCTCTTTACTTTTCATCATAGCACTCACTCTCTTTGACCCTACCTGAATGCTCACAGCATTCCTGCCTTTCATTGCCTTGGTTTGGTTTTTGTGCTCTGCCCTCTCAGCCAGAGATATGAAGCCATAAGTAGAATATCAGAGGTCTGCAATCCCTAAGTACAAGGAATCAAAAACAAAATTGCTGCCCTTATAAATGTAACATTAAACTAGAAAATCAAATGGAAAAATCCTGATCCCAGCTCAAAGTAAAAACATTAAAATATTTCAAAACAAGTTCAACACAGGTTATTTTCCAGTAACTTCACAAAAGAAGCGGTGCTTTGAAATTTGAGAGTCCTATCTTATTGAAATTGACTAGCATAACTGGGGTCGATGACATTATGTACAAAGGACCTCCAGGGCTATGGACCAAAGTAGCATTAGTGTAGTCTTATTTTTGTTGACTGGTGCAGACACACTGGGCTGAATAATCTCTGACTGTGCTGTAAAATGTCTGATTCTAAGGGAGCAACTTGTCAAACTATTTGATTAAGTCAAAGGAAAAGTCAAAAACAGTAAGATTTTTTTTCTGATGAAGGGTCTAGGCCCGAAGCGTCGGTCTCTCTGCTACTGTGATGCTGCTTGGCCTGCTGTGTTCATCCAGCCCTGCACCTTGTTGTCTCGGATTCTCCAGCATCTGCAGTTCCTACTATCTCTGATTCAAGATTGTACCAAATATCATTCTTCAATTCAATGATGCTTGTTCTGACCGTTTTTAAAAGTTTCTAGCTTTGCTTCGTCCCCATTTCCCATTTATCCACAATCTCCAACAATACCATTACGAAGATAATCAGAGTGGAGGCTTGGTGATCCCTTACAAGTAGAAAAAGAAAACTAACAAACTGTCACAGTCCTCCTAGCAACCAAAGGAGCAGCAATGTTGCCAGAGGCCTGGGAGTGACCGAATTATTTGCTTTTATATGAAAGTATTAAAATGTAAACCGCACAGAAGTCTAATTTAGAGAAGTCACCAAACTGGAAATACCTTTTAGGTGTCACAAGTCACTTGTGTAAGATAGTGAAAGTAAGATTATGTGATAAAAAATCAAATTCCAAGGCAGCAAAAGAACATTAAATATACATGTTGACACATAAATATTGAATAACTTCCGAATGTTGATAATGAATTAAATTCTGAGGCATTTGTTCCAACAAAAGAAAATCGTAATACATCCAATTATGTTTGGATTTTTATTTTTATCAAATAGTGAGTTGTTACTGCTGGAACACAGAACCTATGATATATCTTACACATCTTAAATTTATTTAGACCTGTGGGATCTCAGTGGCAGTAAACTGTCGTGAGTTGACTTTGTACACCCCAGTTTATTTTAGTGCCACAAGTTCTGAAACCGGTGGGTAGTCATAAAGCACTGGCATTAACCAATATTCGTCACTGGACCAAATATGTTACCTCTGCTTTCTTTCCACAGATGCTGCCAGATATGTTCAGTTTCTCCAGCAATTTCTACTTTGGTTTCAGATTTCCAGCATCTGCAGCTCTTTGGGGTTTTTTCTTTCTTCATAATGTAGTTCTCATTTCAATATTTGAATTACTGTGGCCAATCAGTTGGACAATTCAGCACATTTCTCATCCTGTAACACAAGAACAGTGGTTTGGTATTTGCTTATCAAACTATGTTAAAAAAGGCAAAATTGTAAAGCAGCAAGGGTATATGTCAGTCTAAACCAATTCATTTATTCAATATCCAACCAGCTTCAATGATCATACGCATAAAGCATAAATTTTCAGTTTTGACTGGAAGGTTGACAGTGCTTGACCAAACGAACATTCCATAAACAGGTAAACACCATTTCTTCCTTATTCCAGGCATCCTTGAAAGAATGAAAACAGAAAGTGCTGGAGAAACTCATCAGGCTTGCCAGCATCTGAGAAGAGTTAAACATGACAGTATGGCATTTCTGTGGCAGTAAACAGGACTCCAGGATGGTATACTGCCTCCCTTGTGCCAGTGTCAAGGATGTCATGGAGCTGAACATCCTTCTGGGGCAGAGTTATCAGCCACAATGGTACAAACAATATAGGATGAATGAGGGATGATGTACTGAAGGCAGATTTCAGTAAGATAGAAAGTAAATTAAAATGTAGAACCTCAAGAACAATCAGCTCAGGATTACACTTAGTGCAACATGCTAGAGAGTGCAAGAACAGGTGGATTGATTGATTGAACTGGAGAACTGGTCCAGTTTGGGGAGAGGGGTGCGTGACATCAGATTTCTGGGACTGGGGTTGACATTCTTACAGGGAGCTTTGTTAGTGCTGTTGGGGTGAGTTTAAGTTAGCTTGTCAGGGAGATAGGAACCTAAGGGTTAAGCTAAATTGGAAGGCAGTAAAATTGGTTACAGGAAGTTGAAAAATGCTAAGGAGACTAGAACACAGAATAAATAAAGCCTAACATCTAGAATGCAGTAAAAAAGACAAAATTAATGGCACTCTACCTGACAGCATGTAGCATTCACAAAAAGGTGTACGCTCTGAAGTTACAAGTCGAGATACATTGGTATGAGATAATTGCCATTACAGAAATGGACTGCATGGTGACCAGGATCTTAATATTCAAGGATATTCAACGTTTAGGAAGGAGAGAGAAGAAGAAGGAGGTGCAGTTGCACTGAAAATTAGGGATGGGATCAGTACATTGGTAAGGGAGGATCTCTGATCAGAAGAACCATATGTGGAATCTGTTGGGTGAAACTAAAGAAAAGCAAGGGGCAGCAGACATTGTTTGGAGTTATTTATAAGCCATCAAATAGTAATAGTGGTAGTGTGGGGCATGGTATTAATCAGGAAATGAGAGAAGCATATTGCATGGGCTACACTAATCATGGGTGACTACACATAAACTGGGTAAACTAATTCAAAACTAAAGCCATAGAGGATGAGGTGATGCATTTTGGAGGATCAAATTTAGTTGTGAATTATACTGTTAATGGCAGAACCCTCAGGAACATGAACATACATAGAGATCTGGGCGTGCAGGTCCACAGTTCCCGAAAAGTGGCAACACAGGTGGGCAAAGTGATTAAGAAGCCAAATGGCATGGAGTACAAGAGTTGGCAAAACAATTTGCAGCTATATAAAACCCTTGTTAGGCCGCATTTGGAATATTATGTGCAGTTTTGGTCACCACATTAACAGAAGGGCATGAAAGCTTTGGACAGCGTGCAGAGAAGGTTCACCAGAATGTTGCCCGGTCTCGAGGGCATTGGCTATGAGGAAAGGTTAAAAAGACTAGGATTGTTTTCACTAGAAAGACGGCGGCTGAGAGGAGACCTGAGAGATGTCTACGAAATTGAGAGGCATAGATAGGGTGGATAATCAGAGGCTTTTTGCCAGGGTTGAAGTTTCAATTACAAGGGGGCATAGGTTCAAGGTGAGAGGGCAAAAGTTTAAGGGAGATGTGTGAGGAAAGATTTTCACATAGAGTGGTAGGAGCCTGGAATGCACTGCCAGAGGAGGCAGTAGGCACGTTGGTAACAATTAAGAGGCATCTGGATGGTTACATGAATAGGGAGGGAATAGAGGGATACGGACCAAATAAGGGCAGAAGGTTTGTTATAACAAGGTGTAGAGCTGGATGAACACAGCAGGCCAAGCAGCATCAGAGGAGCAGGAAGGCTGACGTTTCGGGCCTAGACCCTTCGGCCTTCCTGCTCCTCTTATGCTGCTTGGCCTGCTGTGTTCATCCAGCTCTACACTTGTTATCTCAGATTCTCCAGCATCTGCAGTTCTTACTATCACAGAAGGTTTGTTTTTGAGTTTAGTCAGGGAATGATGATCGTCACAGGCTTGGAGGGCCGAAGGGCCTGTTTCTATGCCATACTTCTCTTTTGTTGTTTTTGTTCTTTGTTCTAAGTGAGTATATCTGTAGTGAGAAAGATGTAAAATGAATTCAGGAGGGTTTGGAAGGTTTTGGTAAATGTGGAAGAACATGAGAAATGGAATATAATGTGGAAAAATGTGATGTTATCCACTTTAGTAGGAGAATCAGATGTGCAGAGTATTTCTTAAATGGTGATAGTTTGGAAAGTGTAGATGTACAGGGCACCTATGTACCCTTGTGGGTATATCACTGAAAACTAACATGAAGCTACAGCAAGCTATTAGGAAGGCTAATGGAATGTTAGCCATTTTGAAGAAGATTTGAGTGTATTAGAAATGAAGTTTTTCTTCAGTTGGAAGGGAGCTTCAATAGACCAGAGCACTGTACGTGGTTTTGGTCTGCTTATCTCAGGAAAGATATTGTTACCATAGAGGGAGTGCAACAAAGGTTCACCAGACTTGGTTCCAGATGACAAGATTGTGAAATGGACAGAGATTGTTCAAATTGGGCCTATAATCTTTGGCCTTTCAAAGAATGAGATATGAACTCATTGAAACTTACAAAATATATAAAGTGATATACAGGGTAAATGGAGATACTTTGTTTCTCCTGTCTGGGGAGTTTAGAACCAGGGGGCACAGGTTTAAAATAAAGGGGACGCCATTTAGGTCTGAGATGGGGATAGTTTTTCTGCGGGTCATGAACCTTTAACATTCTCTACCACAGAGGACTGTAGAAGTTCAATCTTTGAGTATGTTTAAGGTAGAAATTGATAGATATGTGATAAACAGTGACATACAGGGTTGTTGGGATGGAATGAACAAAAGGCTGAGGTGTTTGATCAGCCATGATCGTACTGAATGGTGGGGCAGGCTCGTACTGAGTGGTGGGGCAGGCTCAAAATACTTAACATTTTGAGTCCAATATGACTCATAAGTCAAAATGGACTCAAAATGTTAACTGTTTGTCTCTCTACGGATGCTGCCAGACATCCTGATTTTCTCCGGCACTTTTTGATTTTGTTTCAGATTTCCAGCATCGGAAGTACTGTGTTTTTATCTCTTAAAGATTTTACAAAGTACAAAGGATAAAGTTTATTTAAATAGTTGCAACATCAAGATTCCACCATAACAGTGGCCTGCTCAAACATTAACACTTATTTCTCTCCACTCAAAAGAAGCAATTTGTCACCATCTCACTGGAGTTATTCTCAATAACATTTTCCAAATGTTATTAACTATTAAATATTATTAATGTTTTCCAAATGTTATACTCATAGGTTTTCTTTGTTGCCATGTTACTACTTGCATTTACATATCACCCTTAACATAGAAAAATGTTCCCAAGTGATTCACAGTAGTGTTAGCAAATAAAAGTGAACAATGACCATAGTTCTGAAATAAATATTTTGCCAGAAATTCCCACTGCAGTAGTTTGGCTCCCATTTTACTGCTTTGAGCTGAATTTATGATGCATGACAAGCTCCTGATATAACATGGAGGAAAGCCTGGGATAAAAAGGAAAGTGCTGCAGTGGGATACTTGTTGCAAAGCAAGAATGAGGAGATGACAAAACAAGCTGCAGTGCAAGATGGAAGTTTTAACCTTTTAAACAAAGTTTCCAGATGAGCTGTGGATACCCCTGGCTACTTTTTGCCTTTATTTTCTTGGGATGTTGGTGTCGCTGGCTGTTAAGTCCAGAATTTGTTGCCCATCCTTAATTGCCCTTGAATCAAATGGCTTGCTAGATTATTTCAAAAAACAGTTAAGAGTCAGTCACAATGCTATGGGTCTGGCGTCATCTGTATGCTAGACCAGGTAAGGATGGCCACGTGATTCACTGAAGGACATTAGTAAAGATGGTTTTTTACTACCATCAATGATTGTTTCATGGCTACCATCACTGAATCAAGCTTTACATTCCAGATTATTGGTCAAATTCAAATTCCACCAGATGTCATGGTGGGATTTTAATTGATTTCACGAGAACATTGCCTAAGCCTCTAAGTTACTGGTTCAGTGATATTATCACCAACAAGCATCTTCTCATTATGTCAGAATGAAGGAAAGCTGAATTGCTCTACTTCTTTTCCCTACAGCAAATCCTTAGTTGGTTTCCCACAATAGTCTCAACAATTATCATTCCTCTCAAAGTTTAGCTGTAGCAAAGAAAGCGACCAGGAAGTCAGACAGTTTCTCTAATCTCCTATTCCATTAACGTTTATATTCAGTGGGGCAGAAAACATTTAGTCCCCTGACATGGGAAAAGAGTACAGGAATAAAAATTCAACTGCATGACTTTGGAAATCTCTGAATTATATATGTTCACATCATTATTTCTGTGACAAGCACCAATACTGCCCCCAAGTGGTACCAATGTTCATTAATTTTACATTTGAAGCATTATGTCAAGTACCTGTCATAATTATCAGCAATCACTCTGTGAAGTGCCTCTTTTCAAAACATTAATCCAGTCTGTCCCATTCTCCTGTTCTATCCTTGCAGATATTTTCCTAATCAACCGGCTTAGAGGTGTTATTACAGACCTCTGGTACAAGTGAGGCTTGAGCCCAGGCCACCTGGTTCAGAAGTGAGGACACTACCACTACAACACAGGAGCCATCTGTTCTACCCTTGTTTTATTTTTAATTTTTTTTTTCCTTTTTAAAACCCATTTTCTAACCAACATGTTCAGGGATGTTAAGACACACCTCTGGAACAGGTGGGACTTGAATCTGGGCCTCCTGGTCCAAAGGTAGGGACATTACCACTAAGCCAATTTATTTCCTTTAGGTGCTCATCCAATTTCCGTTTGAAACAAGTAATCACGTCTACTTCACAAACTCAATGTGTCAAAAAATTTTCTTCTTCCACATTCCTCCCCACTTTCCCAAAATCTTGAGTCTATGTTCACGTGTCCTTGTACTGTTAACTAATGAGAAGAGATTTTCCTTGTAACTTTATCATGATCTGTAATAAATGTGTAGGTCACTATTGAATCTCTTAAGCCTCAAAGTTGCTAGTAATTAATGTGTTTGTAAGCAGATGTATATATGTATTACCCTTGGGAAAATCAACTAAAATAAACCAGCAACAAAGCCTTTTGTATTTAAAGTGGAAGGTTAGATTGTTTTAGTTGCACACTTGCTCTGGAGGTTACTTAAGAAACTAGCCCACTGACAAATACATTAATTACAGATGGTGATAAAAACAATACCAATAAAAGTGAACCAAGGTCAGTCTTTAGTGTTCAATGCAGTCCTGGTATTTCAAAGTCTAGGTGTTGCATTGTCTGAAGTGAAGGCTTGGACTTCAAGCATTGTCTCAGCAGTTAGAATGGCTTTCACATTTGAATTGCCAGTCGTTTTTTGCACAATTAGGCTTTATGTGTCAAACAGGATAAAGTACAGAAAGAGAGAGGGCTGTTTCTTATCCAGTTTTCCAGGTGAGCCACTTTCATCTGCCCAAGTGATTACATCAGATCACCAGCTGATCCTGGATGCTTGTCTCTCTTTCTTTCCAAGCACAGAAGCTCTTACCTTTCCCAGAAGATATCTCTCTCATGACTTTTTCTTTCAGGTAGATTGTCCTGCCTTTTCAAGATACTTGGCAGGCAAGCAAAGGTGGCCACTGTATAACCTGGACAGAAACAACAAATCATGCTCCAAATAAGACTAAAAGTAATCTAATTTATAATTTTGAATTGCAAAAAACCTTTCAAGTCTGGCTGATTGTTCTTGTATTTTTGGGGTAGTCCTTGACATTGCCATGTGTGAAATTCCACAGGAGTGCAAGATAAGCATGTCTATTTGTAATCCATTTCAAAAACTCTAAAGAGTTGACATTCATTGCAATTGTAAAAGGTCAAGTAACCCTCGGAGGGTTTTTTGCAAGTGTTTAAACTCAGTCCAAGGATAGCCCTCATTACATGCCTCCATTTTTTTGCATGGTTTCCCTTGTGAAGCAACAGATAAGGAGAGGGAAAAAAAGGAACATGCTCGCAAGGATTTTCATGTACATAGTTGGCTAATTGCAATGAGGAATGTAGGAATGAGAATAGGCCACTCAACCCATTGAAACTGCCCTGCTGTTTAATACAATCATGACTGTAAATTACTTACACATTCTCCTATTATCACTGGTAATCAGGAATCTATCAATCTCTACTTTAAACATACTCAAAGTCTAAGACTCCACAGTCCTCTGTCATGCTGAATTCCAAAGATTCAAAACTCTTTAAGTGGAAAAAAGAATCTCCTCAACTCGGTCTTAAGTGGTATCCCCTTTATTTTTAAATTGTGCTCATGGTTGTAGCCTCTCCAACCATGGAAAATAGTTTACTGCATTTACCCTGCTTATATCTAAGTATTTTGTCAGTGTCAATGAGATCACAACACATTTTCTGAAACACTGAAGAATGCTGGCCTAGTTTGAACAATTTCTCTTCATTGCGTAGCCCTGCCATCCAGAGAACAAGTCTGGCGACCCTTTGTTGCACTCCGTCTATGGGAGTAATGTCTTTCCAAACAAGAAGACCAAACTGCATATAATACTACAGATCTGGTCTAACCAAGCTCCTATACAATTGAAGCAAGACTTCTCCAGTAATGTACTCAGAACCTCCTGCAATAGAGGCTAGTATTCTATTAGCCTTTCTAATAATTTGCTGCACCTGCATGTTAGCTTTCAGTGATTTATTGACAAGGACACCTAGGTCCTTTTGCATGTCTACACTTTCCAAATTGTCACCATTTAAGAAATACTCTGCATATCTCTTTCTCCTACCAAAGTGGATAATCTCATTTTTTTCGCATTATATTCCATCTACCATGAACTTCCCCATTGAATAAGCTTGTAAAAATCTTCGTGAAATTGTTTTACATCTTCCTCACTATGCACATTCCCACTTAGCTTTGTATCATCCACAAATTTGTATATATTACATGTGGTCACTACCTCCAAATCATTATATGTATTGTGAACAGTTGGAGCCTAAGTACTGATCCTTGTAGTACCCCACTAGTCACAGCCCGCCAATGCAAGAGTTACTCATTTATTTCTACTCTCTGTTTTCTACCTGTTAGCCATTCATTGATCCATGCCAGTACATTACATCCTATCCCATCTGTTTTAATCTTTCCTGCAGGGTACTTTATCTAAAGCCTTATGAAAATCTAAGTATATTACATCCATCGAATCTCTTTATCACTTTTATCAGGAACATCTTTAAAAGAAATCTAAAAAAATTAATCAAGCATGATTTCCCATTTGCAAATCAATGTTCATTATGCTAAACAGATTATAATCAACCATATGTCTATGCATCCTATCCCTTGGCAATGGATTATAGCATTTACCTTACAACTTATATAAGACTACCATGATTGTAGTTCTCTATTTTCTGTCCCTTGCGCCTTTGTTGGGGACATTATCAAAGTTTGCACCTGATACGGAAACTTGGATGCATTGTAAGTTGCAGGAGGACAGTGTAGAAATCCAAAAGGAAAGGTAAGTAGGTTGAGTGTGCAGGTATGTGGCAAATGAAGATCATCATGGAGAAGTGTGAAGTGAGGTATTTTGATGGGAAGAACACGTATACACAATATAAAATTAGAGGTACAATACATAAGGGAGCAGAGATCAGTGAGGGCGACAGTACAAGTGTAGACAGCAATTACTAAACTTTATAGTTTTCAGGGCTATTTTAATAGAGGCAAAGAACAAAGAGGTTATTCTCAACTTACACAAGATAACTGCTAGACTGCATTTGGGGAATTATATTCAGACAGTTCTGTGAGCCACACGATAGGAAGGAATATGCACACATAGGAGAGAGTGCCAAAGAGATTCACATAAGTAGTTGTAGGGATGAGAAACTTCAGATATGAGAATAGATTAGAGAAATTGAGAGTGCAGTGCTTGAAGAGAATGTGGTTCAGAAGAGATCTTACAAAGTTTCAAAATCATGAAAGGTTTGAATAAAGTTGATAAGGAGAAAATTGTCCCAGTGTGGAAAAGCATTTTGAACAAGAGGGCACACATTTGAAGTGATATTCAAATGGAGAAAATGTGACATGGGAAAAGGCACTTTCAAACACTGAGTAGTTCAGCTCTGATTACACTGCCTGACAGTTTAGCAGGGGTAGATTCAATAGAGGTGTTCAAAGGGGCATTAGATGATTGTTTAAAGGGAAAAAAATGTGCAGCGGTATGAGGAAAAGTCAGGGCAATGGCACAAAGGCATGGGGGAGCCAGAACACATACGTTCGCTGAATCTGAACACCCATAATTGACACTAAACATAACGTGCTGAAGAAGTCACAGGGTCCAATTGTCAATTGGACAGTCAAACTAGGGTTCAAATACAAGTGAGATTCATTCACTAACCACAGTTGTGCTGATATAAATACTCAAACCAGCAAAACTCCGGACTCCACTGATCTCAGACATTTGTTCTCTCTGGCAAAATACACAGACTAGGTACCTACTCGCTCCCAGCGGCTGCAATGGCTGTTCTCCTCTACCAAGCAGGTATCTGAGAATGTCAGGACCACAAGCTGTTGAAACTCATACATTCTAATCACTCCAGTTTGAGTAGATTCCTGCTCTCTCAGGGCTTGGCTAGTACCCCACAATCTTCATCTTGCACTTGCAGGAATCCAATTGCCCTAAGCTTCCGATCTGTCTTCAGTCTTCAGCTCTCTAGCTTTCAAGCTACTCTGCCTCCTGTTATCTTCACCATAAGCTCCCATTCTCAGTCGCACTGACATGTTTCTTGAGAGTAAATAGGACTTTTCATCACTCAGAGCCATTTTCTCCACCTCTTAATATCACTGTACCACAATAACTAGGTCCTCGACCTGAAACAGCATTTCTTGTTCTGCCTATTTCCAAATATCTAAATAATCTTACCCCCAAGCTGCTTGGATAAAAACCCTGTCAAAACAAAGAACACCGACAATAAAATGGATCCATGAATAACTGAAAACAATGTGGGTGTCCTCATTTGCTTCAGTTTGTACTCAGCTTAGATAATCCTCCTCTAGTCTCCCAGGCTATTGTCAATTGGTTTTGGAGTACGGGGATGTCACTATACAATGTGTACTAACTCATCATTGTGCCACCATGTCAGCAAATCATCAACCTTTTTACCAAGTTCAAAAATATTGCAGAATCACTAAAATGCCTCTTGCCTCATTTCAGCACTTAACTTGCTCTATACATATTTACTGTGATTTTGGCATTCCTGCAGGATAGAAAGGATCATTTCAGCAACGCAGCCAGTTTCTCCACCAATAAATACCACATAAGTAGTTCTAGGGATGAGAAACTTCAGATATGAGGACAGATTAGAGAAGGTGAGAGTGTAGTGCTCGAAGAGAATGTGGTTCAGAGGAGATATTACACAAAGTTTCAAAATCATGAAAGGTTTGAATAAAGTTGATAAGGAGAAAATTGTCCCAGTGTGGAAAAGCATTTTGAACAAGAGGACACAAACTTGAAGTGATACCCAAACAGAGAAAATGTGACATGGACGTCAACTTTGACCTGCTCTCATGATCCAGCCCACTTCTCAACATTCTGGGGTATTGTTCGGATGAACCAGTCCTCAATAATTATCTCCAGAATCTTCATCTGTTTATTTCTCTCAGGCTGCACATTAGGCATTATCAACGTTGGAGGTTTTCTACTTCATAGGTCCAGCCTGAAAGCCATCACGATGAGGCCATCTGCAGTATAATTGCCTTCTGCAATCGTACATCAGCTGTTTACATCAAATCAAAATTTGTTTCTTCATGTCTTACCAAAAACAAAAGACTCATAAATCTTGCCCACAGTTGATTTATATCATTTTTCTGCCCAAGCACATCATTTGACTGAAGCACATATTACACCGATGACAGCAAAAGTAGGCTGCAGACTTGCGATTCGCCAAATATAAAACTCTGCATCAAATTTCGGATCTCAGCCTCAGTTCCTTTCTATTCACCAAGAGGAAATAAACATTTCTGCTGCAAATGTGGAACTTCTGATGCCCCTATTATACTCATGTGGTCCTCTATAAACAATCTCAGCATTTTCTCCACTTAATTGCATGTCTGCTCATATGAGAGCAACAAAGTTGAAACATAATGGCTAATACAACAGTCTATGGATATTGTTCATGTTGCAGGTCCTGCAGTCCCTGTAATATCTACATTTGAAGGCTTGTTTATCCTAATGCTTATTAATGATCTAGACCCTGGTGTGCTGGGAACTTAATCAAAGTTTGCACGCTTATATGAAACTTGGAAGCATTGTAACCTGTAGGAGGACAGTACAGAAACTTAAAGGGCAAATCGAGTTGGATGTATGAGCAGGTATTTGGCACATGAAGATAAAGATGGAGAAACATGAGGTATCTTGACGGGGCGAACAAGTTATGCAATATAAAATTAGGGCTACAGTACATAAGGGAGTACAAAAGCAGAAGGACCTGGCTTTATATGTGCCTAGATCACTGAAGGCCACCTTACTATTTTCATAGGGGCAAAGAATAAAACGGCAAAGACGTTAAGTACAACTTACAAAAGACACTGCTAGTCCAAATTTTGGGTATTGTGTCCAGTGAGATCTGTGTGTCACATGATAGGAAGGAC